GCTGCAGGGATGTCCCCTCCACCCCCTCCCCACAGTGCTGTCTCAGCGCTGCTGGGATGGGGACATCCCGCTCTAGCCCAGGGGATCCCTCCCGCCCCCACGGCCCCAGCACTCACAACGTCCGCAGCTTGGGCATGTGGTTGAAGCTGGACACGGGGATGGAAGTGATATTGTTGTTATTCAGGGTCCTGCAGGAAGGCAGAGGGGGGCAGGTCAGGGCAGCCAGGCCATAAAGGGGAGTGTGAGACAGTCCAGGCAGCACCAAACCCCTGGAAGCAACAGCACCCACCCACCCCCTGGCACAGGGTGGATGGATGGAGAGGCAAAGGATGGGGATAACCCAAACCCTCAGCAGGGCTTGCTGCTCTTCCCAGGCTTCTCCCTTCCACAGCCAGCCACAGGCAGGTGGAGTCCCCGGGTCAGGATCAGGCCCTGGAGCACAGCTCCGCAGCAGTAACCCCAGACCCTCCTCAGGGCCAGGGCACGCTGGGGACATCCATGCAGCGCCTCAGGGAGTGGGGAGCACCTGGGGACACCCTCACCCTCAGGGGATTAGCCAGTCCCTGGCCACTTACAAGACCTCCAGCCCCCGCAGGGCACGGAAAGCCCCATCCTCAATGCAGCTGATCTGATTCTTGTCCAGTTGCCTGCGGGAGAAAGTCAGAGGGAGCATTGCTGGTGGAGACCGACCAACATCTCCTGCCACCAGACCTGACCCCAAACTCCCCTGTGCCACCCAAGCCCAATTTCAACATGACTCACAGGTTCTTGAGGTCGGTGGCCCCTCGGAAAGCTTTCCTGGGGATGGCCTGGATGAAATTCTCACTCAGGTCCCTGCAGAAGAAGGAGGCAGGAAGGCAAATGAACAGTGCTGCAAGACATGATGCCCCACGGGACCAAGGCACCTGCAGGCGGGGGCATGCCCTGGCACTCAGTCATCCCTGAGGGGCTCCGGGAGGCTGTAATTTGGCAACCAGGGACTTGCAGCCCACTGCCTGCTGGCTGTCCCAAGGTGAGTCCAGCTCCATCCGTGGTGGCTGGGGCTCCCCGGGCACCAGTATCCCCAGCTCTGATAAGCTAAGCAGCAGGGCACAGCTCTGGGAAAACCCTCTGTACTTAAATACCCTGTGACTGCTATAATTACAGGTCCCTGCTGATTAACTGGTAATTACACGTAGTGGCTCCAGCAAGCATTCCCATGGAGCCTGCCCTGCACTTTAGAGGGCACAAATAATCGGGTCATTAATTACTTCATCACTACACGGCACCGTCCGTGTAATCATCCACTCCGTGTTGCCAGAGCGTGCGGGGCTGGCATGGGCTCTGTGCTTGCAGGACCAGCAGTGGGTCCTCCTGCCACAGGGAAACTGAGGCACGGCACGGCATTTGTCCTCTGCTGCGAGTCCATGGGTGAGTGAGGAGCAGGACCAGGACAACCTGCATGGATTGAGCACACCCCAGCATTGCACAGGCCACGCAGACACCACCATCCCAGCCCCAAGGGATGGTTTGGGGTGTCCCTAGATGCCAGTGTGTCACACCTGGTGGTCACCACCTCTGCTTCAACACAAAGAAGCCTGTTCACTACTGATATTCCACAGCAGTTGGGCTGGGTCAGGACGGAGTCGCAGCATCCACACTCCTCCCCATGCCCCCAATTCCTCCCAAATAATGGGGTCAGCATGGCCCACCAACTGCTTAAAAAAGACCTGGATGTCTCCAAATCAGGACTTCACCCCAGTCAAAAGCTTCACTGCCACACGGGGATGTCTTGCCAGAGGGAAGCACCAGCATCACTTGCACAGATGCACGAGGAAAATCCGAGGACGATGGGCTTGCCCAGTCCTCCAGTGGAATGCCCAGGCACCAAAGAGCTGCCATACAGTGCCCAAGTGATACACCAGCCTGTGCCCCCCACCGCACTGTGTGCAGAGGCTGGTGCATTGCTCTGGGTCCCTCCTGGGGAGCCCAACCCGGCTGGCAAAGCACCATTGCTGGAGCAGAGGAAGGGAGATGCTGCCCCTAGAAGGGCCCAGGCTAAGGGGGAGGGCAAAGCCGGGTTCCCCTGCCAGCAGCCGGGCGCGCAGCAGGCGCAGTTTCACGGCTACCCACGCGGCGGCACTGCCAGGCTGCCCTGCCCGGGCTGCTCCAGCCCTTCCCAGCCTCCCCAGGATCGGGACGGCCTCGCATTCTCCAAAGGGGAAGGACCCGGCACCTGCAGCAGCCCCCGACACCCCAATACCCCTCCAGATGCAGACACCCTCTCCCCATCCTTGGCTGGTGACGCGATGCACCCAGGGACCCCCAGGAATCGCACTCACCTTTCAGAAAAACGCAGCATCGCCCCAAATTCCCTTTTGCTCCTGGAAGAAGGGATCCCCCAGAAAACCCTCCAGAACCCCGCAGATGAAGTTCACTGCCCTTCCCAGCAAGGCGTTCAACGCACCGTGCTCCCTCTCGGCAGCTCCCTGTCCTCCATCAAACCCCTCACGGGGGGGCCAAGCGTGGGAGCACCCACCACGCTTTGGTGCTCTGCACCCCTCTCCCAGCTCCGGCGCTGCCTGCATCCTGCTTGGTTCCCCCACGGAAGCCTCGCTGGCGTTTTTCCGCTCGCAGCACATGGGAGTCCCGGCGCGCCCCGGGGAGTAAACCCAGGCGTCTGTCTGCAAGCTGCTCACTTACAGCTCGCGAGGGAAACGCCGCTAGAAGGTTGCAACCGCCTTTGCAAGGCTTCTCCCCTTCACAGCTTTTTGTGACAGTCACCGACGAAGTGCTGCCGTCGAGGGTACCGAAGCCAAGAGGGACAGACGCTGGATGCGAGGGTTTCAGCAAGGCCCCGGCGCCGGGCAGACGTTACTGGCACGGTTACACAGCTGACGGCACCGGGACAAACACATGCTTCGCCTGTGGGATCCTCGGGCACCGGCACGGGAACAAGGCACGGCCCCTTCCCTCCTGGTGTTTCATAGCTCCCAGCTATGTTTGCTTTACACTTTGGCGGGGAAGAAACAGCAGATGGCACGGCTTCTCCTCGCTCCGTCGCGCGGCTTGCGGCACCCTCGGCGGCTGCGCCAATGCCAC